TTTAACTATTTTTCTGGTTTCTGTGGAGAGTTTGAACATAAATTGCCCAATGTTTTTTGATTACTTTTAGCTTTCAATAAACCATTATTAAAGAATTCTTTTGAGGGTCAATAAGGATATGTGTGCCAATATACATTGTGTTTCTCTGAAAGTTTTCATGTATTGCATTGTCATGCATCAGTGGTGGTGCTCTATAGAATTTTTCATGTATCACATCACATGGTAGTTTGTAGAGTTCTTTTGATTTTTTTTTTTTAAGCTGTGAAATATATTTCATATTTGTTCCTTAATTGAATGACATTTTTTTATTGATGCTGTGTTGTTTTTTTATGGCTAAGGTTTCTAATATTTGTAGCCATTTTTTACAGTTTATATGGTTTTGTATTTTTCTATTATTGCTAAGTATTTGTCCTATTTCTTATGTTGGCTGGTTATATGTGGTTTACTAAATGTCAAGTTAATCAACAAGATAATGTAGTGATTGTATAATCAATATATGTTCTGTTTTGTTTTTTTATTATTATTAGACATCCTGAAAGTGGGCAGGTCGACAATGGAAAATGGTTCAGAGCAAGAAAAAATAAATAAAATATCTTGAATTTCATTTGTTTTCAACCAAACATAAATGAAAAATCTCTGCCTAAACACACCCAATAACTTATAATCATGTGGTGGGGGTATTTTTTTATTTTCTAAGATAGTTCATTAGAAAATTTAAACATTTATCTGCTAGCATATCATCACAAGTCTCTAAACCCATTACGATTGCAGGGACACAACATGCACTACAGCTATAGCAGCAGTGGTGTGTCTGGAGCAGGATAGCATGCCAGAGCCTATTCCTCTTCAAGTTTGGTTTTGAATTTAGATTTTTCTTTCTAGACTGGCTGCCACTTCAAGACAAGAGTGCCCACTCTGCCCTGCTATTTAACTCATAGCTAGGGGACAGAGAAAAGAGTGTTTCTTACTATTCCCAAAGGTATTTGTGAGAAAGTGAATTGGCTGCTCATTGATTTCTCTTTGAGTCATGAACTGCTATACTATTAAGTTTTTTTTAAACAACTCACTATTTGGATATTTTTTTAATTTGAATAAATAATATCAATTTAAAAAAATATCCATTCCAAAAAAATTACTATTTACATTTCAGATATGAAACTGAAGCTAGAAGATTTAAGAGGTCTGTCTGAAAAGTAATGGGACTGGGTTTGGTGTGTGAGCCATGGGTGAAAGCGTGATTAGCAGATTGTATTATCAACTAACATGATATTTTGGAAGTATATAAATGTAATTTTAGTTTTTTACAACCATTGCATTTTTTTTTTCATATGTTTTTTTTTTTTTTTTTTTTTTTTCTTTTTTGGAATGATAAATTTTGGCTGCTTCACCATGACAATGCACCTGCTCACAATGCCCTGAGCATCTGGCAGTTCCTAGCCGAGAAATACCTTGCCGTAAAGGAGCAACCTCCCTATTCACCTGATCTTGATCCATGTGACATTTTTATTTTCCCTAAGCTCAAGGGGATCATCAAGGGGATCCGTTTTGAAGACATGGAGGCCATCAAGATGGCTGTAACAATGGAGCTGAGGGGTTTCTAAGAAGAATATTTCCATAGAAATGTGGCAGAGAAGGATGAAAAAGTGCATTAGACTCGAGGGGGGATTACTTTGAAGGGAAAACCCTGTAGTTTGTTGTTTGGAATTTAAATAAATTGTTTGTGACATGACTCCTGTTACTATTCAGACAGACCATGTAGATTCATAGAAGTCACACTTAGAAATGTGCTTTCTTTAAATAGGTACTTCAAAACTTACGCTATCAAGATGTCCTTCTGTGATCAAAATGGTAGCAGCACATTTTAGCTATTGAAGTGTTTTCCCTGATGAAAATTGATACAGGTTCGATGTGTGCAAAAGTTTACAGTGAAAATAGAGTTCCTATGTGTCTCTAGTTTTTCACAAAAAAGCAATTGTAACTCTTGCAAATAACCAAATATATGTAAATTACTGATGTTTAGTAGACTTGTAGACCATGGATTCGATTCCTGTTGGGAATCAGAATTTTTCTTTAGTAGGACTTCTCAGTCTAGGCTGGTTGTTATTAATTTCAACGTTTATAGTAATAAAAAATATATATAAAATGTGTGCAAAAGATGTTATAAAATGATGAAAAAATATTATAAAATGTGTGCAAAAAGATGTTATAAAATGAAAAGATATAAAATGTGTGCAAAAGATGTTATAAAATGAAAAGATGTTATAAAATGATGAAAAGATATAAAATGTGTGCAAAAAGATGTTTTAAAATGAAAAGATATTATAAAATGTGTGCAAAAGATGTTATAAAATGAAAAGATGTTATAAAATGATGAAAAGATATAAAATGTGTGCAAAAGATGTTATAAAATGATGAAAAGATATTTTATAATGTGTGCAAAAGATGTTATAAAATGTGTGCAAAAGTTATAAAATGATGAAAAGATATAAAATGTGTGCAAAAGTTTACAGTGAAAAAACAGTTTTTAACTGTCTCTAGTTTTTCACAAAAAAGCAATGGAAACTTTTGCACATACCTAAATTTCATGTAAATTACTTGTTTTATAGACTTGCTAGTGAAATGCTTTTGAAACATTTCTACATTCATAATGTTTTGTTTTTTCTTAATGTCAATAGCTTCTAATTTCTTGTAAAATAAAATAATAAAAATAATGTTCTTTGGAAAGCCTGTGAATAAAAGTAAGCGAATCAGTGTTGGTAGTTGGCCAATAACTTTGACTCTTAAGTGAGAAAGTATGAAATTTCTTTATCTTTAAGTAGCTTGCCTTTGTTGCTGGAGTAAACTGTGATTCAACCACCAGATGGCAGACTTAACCAATACATCATCATCATTATCATCGTTTTACTTCAAATATAGGAAATTATTTATTTATTTATTTACATTTTTATATTTGGCTCTTAAGGTTAAAAAATAAAAAAAATAGCCAAAAAAGTTCTGTGCCAATCATGAAATTTTGTTTGATTGATGAATAGCTTTTCTGCACCATTTCACCCTTGAGGAAAATGGTCGGATGCTGCAGGTTGTGTGGTGGGATAATTTTTCCATTGACAAGGGCTCTGCTTGGTGAGGTTACTTGGTTTATTTGTTAAGATGAGGGCAGAGTTTATTATTGAACTTTTTGGATACGTTTAACTTCCTTAAAAAAAAAAAATCTCCTTTTCTCTTATTGGAAAAATAATCATTATCAAAGAGTACAAATACCGCATTGCACTGAAATTTTTAATTTAATTCAAAGACTGTCATATAACAAAAAGATCTTGCCAAATATAGTTTGAAAGTAATCTGGTTAAATTCAAATTGAGAATAGTTAAGGATCATTTTTTTCTTTTTTATAGCTCGAATTTATGGAGTACTTCTAAAATAATAAAAAACTTAATTAATATAAAACAAAATAATAAAATAAAACTTGAAGTAGGAATTTACTCTATCACCTGTAATAACTGCCAAAAACAATACATAGGAGAAACCTCAAGGAACTTAAATAAAAGATTATAATAAGTACAAAAGGGATATTTTTATAAAACAATACATTCAATGCTTTAGTTGCTCATCATAATGATTCTGATTGTAATTTTGATTTAAAATATGCTATTTTAATTAAATTAGAAAAGCATTTTACTAAGATGAAAGTGTATATTGATTTTGCAAGCATAGCTTAGATGTGGCACAAGGCCAAAAGTAGAGGGCACCCAGTGAGGATTGAACTCACTACTCGGTCATAATTGTTCTAGCAAGACAAGCTTGCTAACCATCACACCACCTCTAGGTGCCTAAATGATTTTCTAAGTGTAGCTTAGATGTGGCACAAGGTCAAAACTAAGAGGCACCTAGTGAGGATCAAACACACTTTTCAGTTGTAACTGATCTTGCAAGACAAGCTTGCTAACCATTACACCATGCAGAGGTGCCCAGTAATTTTCCAAATGTAGCTCAGATGTGGCATAGGGCCGAAAGTATAGGGCACCCAGTGAGGATCGAACTCACTACTTAGTCCTAATTGTTCTACCAAGACAAGCTTGCTAACCATTACACCACCACAAGGTGCCCTAAGATGAAAGGGTATAGAAAGTGCTTTAATTGCTAGATCATCCACAATAAATTTGTGTCTAGATTCTTAAAACATTTCACGTCTCACAGCAGATTTTCTATTTTCACAATGTGCGATGCTTTGTAGTAAAAGCAATAAAAAAAAAAAATTAAAAGTAAAAAATCCTAAATGAAATTGGCTAGACAACATACCTCCCCACCCAAGAAAATTTAAGTTTAAATTTTTTAGCATCCTTTCTCGTTTGTGCACTTGTGCAGTCATATCAAAATGTCAACATTACTTTAGTTCAATAGTCATAAAGTATGAAACGTGTTGCAGGGAAAATTTTCTCCACTTTGTTATTCATTTTCCTAACATTGTTCCAGTTTATAAAAATTTATTTATTGTTTTCTCCCACAGTGTACTGTTAGATATATGAATCTTGAAAATTACCATGGTGTTTCCAAGTTTTTTTTTTTTTTTGTTTTTTCCTTACTCTACTTTTTATAATCAACCTGTGTACTAGAAAAGTAGAGATGAAGAGAATTTAAAGCTTTGTGCTCCTTGGCAATAAAAAGGTAGCATTAAAAATGACCTGTGACACAGGTACAAACACATCGAATATGGGATAAAATTTAATCTGCCATACTTCAAAGAGTGAAACAGAAGAAGCTTATGCAAGGCTGCTTGGTGGCTGAGTTAGGTGTATAACCTTTCTACAGGTGATAGTTTATTTATCAATGTTCAAACATAGGTAAAATTCAAGGTCTGAATTGCTGGTTTACTCTTGGAAGATTGGTGTCATAGTATAGTCTTCCTTCTTGCCATGGAAATTTACCAAGATTAATAAATATTTATCTACTAAATTGTCTTGTTTGAATTTATTTCCAATTTATTTTTCATAAACTTATTTATGATACAATTAAAAAAATATTTTTTCTCTTTTTTTTTTGCCTTTTCTTTTCCTTGTTTTTCTATTTTCCTCTTCCTCTTTTCCACCTTCTCTTCCTCTTTTCCACCTTCTCTTCCTCTTTTCCTCCTTCTCTTCCTCTTTTCCTCATTCTCTTCCTCTTTTCCTCATTCTCTTCCTCTTTTCTTCATTCTCTTCCTCTTTTCTATTTTGCTCATTCTCATTTCCTCTTTTTCTCTTTTCTATTTTTCTTTTCTATTTTCCTCTTTCTCCTCTTTTTCTCTTTCTCCTCTTTTTCTCTTTCTCCTCTTTTTCTCTTTCTCCTCTTTTTCTCTTTCTCCTCTTTTTCTCTTTCTCCTCTTTTTCTCTTTCTCCTCTTTTTCTCTTTTCTATTTTCCTTTTCCTCCTTTTCTTCCTCACTTCTCTTTTCTATTTTCCTTTTCCTCCTTTTCTCTTTTCTATTTTCCTTTTCCTCTTTTTCTCTTTTCTATTTTCCTTTTCCTCTTTTTCTCTTTTCTATTTTCCTTTTCCTCTTTTTCTCTTTCTCCTCTTTTTGTTTTCCTCTTTTTCTCTTTCCCTCTTTTTTGTTTTTTCGTTTTCTTTCTTCTCTTTTTCCTCTTTCAATTTCATCTCTTTGTCTCCTTTTATCCATTTTCTTTTGCTAATTTTAAATAATAAATTTACAATCAGTATTCATGTGTATTGAACAAATTCTTAATACATTGATCTTCATCTGTGACGTGCAAACATCTCCATGTCTTGCTCCTTTTTGTTGTTTGTTAAAACATTTCATTACCTTATAATTTGCAAAGAAAAATGTTTAATTGCTAGGATATATTTCTTTGTTTAATACCATATCTGCTTAGGATATAAATGATTATGGCTGTCCACAATTTATCTTGGTATTGCCATGACTTCTCTGGAAAGATGGTGGGATGGATTTATTGCCTTCTTCACATTGAATTTCTGAGTTTCCTCCAAGACTGCTTACTATTCCAGACTAGAGAGCAAATTTTACTTTGTTATTTAACTAATAATTAGAAGGAGAATAGATAGACTTCTGCCTTTCCCAAGGGCATTAGTGTGAAAAAAGATGTAAGAATTTGAACTTGATTTGCTGATTTCACTTTCTGTGCTGATGGCCACTACATTAATTGCATATCCGGGATAGCACCTTGATATTTCTGTCTAAGTTCAGTGCCCAGAACTCTCTTTCCACTCCTTGCTTCTCTCTTTCCACTCTCTGTAAACACATACATGTTCTAAACTTGACCAACTTCACAAAATCTGACCCAGTCACCAGACATCTTTGGTTGGCATCTGACTATTTCTGAGATCAGTTATTGTAACTATTTACACCATTTGAACTGTTGTCCTCATCTTTATTACCATATTCACAGAATTCTTTAGGTGATATATGTTGAAATTTTTAACTGAACACTTTATTTAGTTCACAAGTAGATTGTTCTAATTCCACGTGCCATGCCTTTTTGGGATATCTTTGTTTCAGTTAATTTACTTTAATAACTCAACTCTCCAAGTTTTTGTTCCCTCTGCTGTGGCCAAGTATTGAACTCACAACTCTTTAGGTGAAGTCACTTTTTGGATTACTTCAACCAATACTTTTAACTATTGGGCTATGGCACATTGAATTAGTACAATCTGCTCCATGGACTAATTAAAGGCTTTGATTCGAAATTCCAATGTATATCACTTAAAGAAGGCCAGAGGGTACAACAGCTGAAACATTGTGAGTATGGCAATAAAGATGAAGACAACAGTCCAAATGATGTTTTTAGTGTAAATCATTGGTTGGGCTGAGGACTTTCCATCATTTCCTCATATATGGATACAGATTGCATTTTATATATGTATGTGGATTATTGCTATTATATTTTATGCAGTTATAAACAAAACAAAAAAAAAAGAACCTTCTAATTTTGTTGTAACCATTGCCCTTTATTCATCTTTATTTGTCTTCTTTCAACAAAACTTTTTAATGACATTATTGCTCATAATGTTTGCTAATTCAGCCCATTAATGGGTGTCTTATTCTTTTTTTTTAATATGCCTCACTTTGTGTAACTTTCTGGTTTCATTTTCATTAAAACTATGTTCTTTTTGTTTCCAGTTTAAAACAAAAATTCCCAAATGCATTCCAAGACCTGTGTTTTTATTCTGATGTGTGCCACCTGCTCTCCAATTACCTATATGGATTATCTGCTCGCAGATTCATTCAGGAAATCTTTGATGAACTTGATATTTCCAAGGTTTGTTTACCATTCTTCTTTAATCTTTGGTTTAGGTTAGCAAGACACTTACCACAATACAGTGTCATCAGAAACCAGAATAGTCTTATTGTAAAACTGTGATACTCAAATTCTATCAGCAAAACAAAACCCTGTAAAGAACTTCATTTGCAGTTATCTCTCCGGTAAATATCTTTGGACATAGACAGATGACATCATCCTCAGACTTAGGATTAAACATTTTCATTAAAAACATCTTTCTTTAAATGTGTGTGTGTGTATATTTATCTATTTTAGGATATTAAAACATCATGTAAAAATCGCTACAAGTTACAGTCGTGTTTCATCACATACCAATGTGTCACCTCAGGCGATTGTCAATTACTTGGGAGTGAACTATTAATTTGGTTTCAAAAGCAAAAAACATACTCTTTTTCTGAAAAAAATATAAGGCTTTTTCAAAAAAAAAAAAAATATCTATTTCGCTTTTTCGCTTTTGAAACTAAATTAATTGTTCAGTCCTCAGTAATTTACAGTTGCCTGAGGAGACGCATTGGTATGTGTCGAAACATGATTGCAAATGTGTAGTGATTTTTACATGTTGTTTTAATATCCTAAAATAAGTAATATTGCTTTGAGCCCTCTTTTAAATTAAATGTATGAGTATTAGAATTGTAACCTATTTGTTCTCATCTTACCTGGTGATATATATATATATATATATATATATATATATATATATATATATATATATTAAGGCATTAAAAACTAGAAATGTTGTATTGTAGGCCATGATAAGTTTAAGATAAAACACACACACAGTCGACGGTTTCGTCCCCTCTCGTCCAGAACTGTTAGCGGGAATTTAAATTATGAGGAAAAGAAAATGTCTGTCATGGGTGACATGAATGAATGGACAGGGAAGGAAGGAAAAAAAAAAATTAAAATTATACCAACCAAGCTGCTAGAAGCGCAGAACAGCAAGTCCAAGCAAACAATCTCTTTGTTTGCAAAGAGCAGGTTGCCTGAACCTGATGTAAAGCGACTCACTAATCCTACCCAACCATGGTAAACGAAGATAGACCGGACATTTACCTACTGAAGCAGATTTGATTTTGTTGAACCTGGCGGTCTCATCTCGAATAACCGATTGAACAATGTTCAACGGATAACCATTGTTCGCAAAGATCTCAGTTAAACAACTGATTTCATGTTTCAAGGTGTCATCCGAACAGATCATTAACGCCCTATGTGTCAGGGTCCTAATCAAATTAATCTTTTGTTGTTTAGGACAAAAGGAGTCCCAACGAGTATATAGTCCTGTAAAAGTAGACTTCCTGTACACAGAGGTAATAAACAAGGAAGGAGTTCTTTGAATAAGAACATCTAAAAAGGGCAATGAACCATTGACCTCCTTATCTACTGTAAATTTAAGGGCAGGATGAACACCATTAAGTAGGATTTGAATAGATCGCCAAGCGTATTTCATGCAGTTCACGTGAGAGTGTTATTTTGCAGCTTAACGTTGATGTTGTCTTTCAAACTAAGTCCGTACTTTCATCTATGTGTAAAGATGTTCTACCCCCCACCATATTAACTCTGTTATTTACTATTTCAAATGTAGTTGTGGATGCGACTACATAGGTAGAACGACACACAGCGGTTGGGCGGAGAATTAAACAACACGACCTGCAATTATACTAAACAAAAAATTTTCTTTAGGCGATACCATTGTAACAGGTATGGGTCTTGATTGCGGATCATTTTATAAAGAATCCAACTTCGCTGATGGATTTCAGTGTGAACTGGTTTTCCGTCTTGGCCAGTTCACACTCACTTTTCCATCTTAAGGTGTTGGAGTAAAGCTTTACATCAGGTTCAGGCAACCTGCTCTTTGCAAACAAAGAGATTGTTTGCTTGGACTTGCTGTTCTGCGCTTCTAGCAGCTTGGTTGGTATAATTTTATTTTTTTTTTTTTTTTTTTTCCTTCCCTGTCCATTCATTCATGTCACCCATGACAGACTTTTTCTTTTCCTCATAATTTAAATTCCCCCATTAACAGTTCTTTTAAACCGGTCGACTGGTGTGTGTTTTATTTTAAACTTATCATGGCCTACAATACAACATTTCTAGTTTTTAATGCCTTAATACGCTTTTTGTACCGTTTCAAACCTATTTATATATATATATATATATATATATATATATATATATATATATATACACACACTGCCTAGCAGAAGAATTGAATCTGAACATCCAGTTTACTAGAAACCAATGCTTTTACCCACTTGTTTATTATTATTAGACTTGCTTGTCACCTCTTCTGATTGGAATGGGTTCAGCACATGGTACTCAATAAAAGGGCATGTTAATTCTCCAAAGTTCAAGTTTTCTGTTGAATTCTTGTCACTTTACTTTAATAATCATGGCTCTTCCCAGCTTCCCTTTTCTTTAATATCTATAAGCTTTGCATTGCTATGATTGTTTTTGGGAATGATATTGGTTTTCTCTTGCATGTTGTTTTTAATCATTTCACCCCAACCAAGGCAGGTATGCTACTAGTATGCAAGGAGTGAAAGTGAGAGAAAAGACCGAGTATTGGGAGGATTGAAGAAAGGACAACAGATGAACGGGATTCAAGAAGATGGTGATTGATGTTGCATTTAAATTTTTTGAAGATTGTAGTTATCAAGGAAGCGAGTAAACTAGAATTATTTCTCCTTTGATCAGAGTAGCATTTTTTTATGTCAAAGTTTTGGTCAGTCTCATTATGTTGGGCAGCTAAAGAATTGATATAAAAAATGCTACTCTGATCAAAGGAGAAAATAATTCTCTAGGATGTAAATGTCTTAATTGCAGGGTCATCTACAGTAAATTCCCACCCAGGCTCTTACATTTCACCATTGCTGGAAGATCTAATATCACAGTGTAGAACAGCTACTTACAAAAGTGAAGGAAAGTCAAAGAAAATGACTCTAAATGAATTCAGCTGATTTATTATTAAAAAAAAAAATTCTAAAATTCCTAGCATCCTTTTGTCATGTGCATGTAAAGGCCTAATAACATAACAAATTTAGTCCAACTAAGTCTTATCACTCTCTTTCCATTCTCTGACACTCTTTCTTTCTACTCCTTGCTTCTCTCTCTTTCTTTCTACTCCTTGCTTCTCTCTCTCTTTCTTTCTACTCCTTGCTTCTCTCTCTCTTTCTTTCTACTCCTTGCTTCTCTCTCTCTTTCTTTCTACTCCTTGCTTCTCTCTCTCTTTCTTTCTACGCCTTGCTTCTCTCTCTCTTTCTTTCTACTCCTTGCTTCTCTCTCTCTTTCTTTCTACGTCTTGCTTCTCTCTCTCTTTCTTTCTGCTTCTCTCTCTCTTTCTTTCTACGCCTTGCTTCTCTCTCTTTCTTTCTCTTCTTCTCTCTCTCTTTCTTTCTACTCCTTGCTTCTCTCTCTCTCTTTCTTTCTACTTCTTTCTCTCTCTTTTCTTTCTCGTCTTCTCTCTCTCTTTCTTTCCTTGCTTCTCTCTCTCTTTCTTTCTACGCTTTGCTTCTCTCTCTCTTTCTTTCTACTCCTTGCTTCTCTCTCTCTTTCTTTCTACGCCTTGCTTCTCTCTCTCTTTCTCTCTGTTCATTGCTTCTCTCGCTCTCTTTTCGCTCCTTGCTTCTCTCGCTCTCTTTTCGCTCCTTGCTTCTCTCACTCTCTTTCCACTATCTGCTTCTCTCACTCTCTTTCCACTATCTGCTTCTCTCACTCTTTCCACTATCTGCTTCTCTCTCTCTCTTTCCACTATCTGCTTCTCTCACTCTCTTTCCCTATCTGCTTCTCTCTCTTTCCACTATCTGCTTCTCTCACTCTCTTTCCACTATCTGCTTCTCTCTCTCTTTCTATCTGCTTCTCTTCTTTCCACTATCTGCTTCTCTCTCTCTATCTGCTTCTCTACTTTCCTATCTGCTTCTCTCTCTCTTTCCACTATCTGCTTCTCTCCTTTCTCTTCCACTATCTCTTCTCTCTTCTCTTTCTATCTGCTTCTCTCTACTCTCTTTCCACTATCTGCTTCTCTCTCTCTTTCTATCTGCTTCTTTCTCTTTCCACTATCTGCTTCTCTCACTCTCTTTCCACTATCTGCTTCTCACTCTCTTTCCACTATCTGCTTCTCTGCTTCTTTCCACTATCTGCTTCTCTCTCTCTCTTTCCACTATCTGCTTCTCTCCTCTCTTTCACTATCTACTTCTCTTCTCTTTCCCACTATCTGCTTCTCTTCTCTTTCTATCTCTTCTCTCTCTTTCCACTATCTGCTTCTCTCCTCTCTTTCCACTATCTGCTTCTCACTCTCTTTCCACTATCTGCTTCTCTTCTCTTTTCCCTATCTGCTTCTCTCCTCTCTTTCCACTATCTCTCTTCTTTCCTCTGCTCTCCTCTCTTTCCACTATCTGCTTCTCTCCTCTCTTTCCACTATCTGCTTCTCTCACTCTCTTTCCACTATCTGCTTCTCTCACTCTCTTTCCACTATCTGCTTCTCTCACTCTCTTTCCACTATCTGCTTCTCTCACTCTCTTTCCACTATCTGCTTCTCTCACTCTCTTTCCACTATCTGCTTCTCTCACTCTCTTTCCACTATCTGCTTCTCTCACTCTCTTTCCACTTATCTGCTTTCCACTCTCTTCTCTCACTCTCTTTCCACTATCTGCTTCTCTCACTCTCTTTCCACTATCTACTTCTCTCCCTGCCTGCCTCTCTCTTTCCACTATCTACTTCTCTCCCTGCCTGCCTCTCTCTTTCCACTATCTGCTTCTCTCCTGCCTCTCTCTCTTTCCACTATCTACTTCTCTCCTGCCTGCCTCTCTCTTTCTGCTCCTTTCATCTCTCTTCTCTCTATCTTTGCACCATCTTTCTGATCCCTTTTTCTGATCCCTGCTTCACTGTTTCTCTCTTTCTGCTGCCTGCTTCTCTATTTCCACTCCCTTCTCTCTCTCAACAATGACAAAACAAATATCTGATGATTCTTAATGACTGATTGGCATTTTTTGTTTTTGTTCTTTTAGATGCTGGAGAGACCCCAGTTGATTTTGGGCATTAAGGAATCGGACATCAAGTCTCCGATGGAACCAATTCGTCAGAACAGCATGGACAGTTTCTCAGACAGTTTCATTTGACAAAACTCCACCGAGGATTGTTGTTAATTACTAATGTCAATAAGTACTTTTCCTCCTTCTCTTTCTCACCTCCTCCCCCTCCTTGCTGCTGCTGCTGCTCTCTTTCAACTCCTGCCAGTTTAAAATAGTCATTAAAAGAATCAAAATGAAAGAATCATGGCTTCCTTGTTGGCTTTTAATGGAACCATGTCTTTCTGGCAAGTAAAGGAAGATGGAGGAGGGGATATTGAGGTTTGCATCAGATGTAAGGGTAGTGGGGGGGATTTACAATAGCGTTACAAACTACTCCCCACCACCACCACTCTTGGACAGCCCCCAACACTTCTCTCTTTTTCTGTTGTTTTTCTTGATAGTCTTCATCTAGAAATTCTAAATGTAAAAATAATAATAATAATGATTCTAAAATAATCTAGAAATAAAATAATTATCTAGAAAGGATGGGAAGGGCAAAATTATTTTTTATTTAAAAAATTTTTTTCCAACTAATAAGCTAATCTTTTTTTTTTTTTTTTTTAATATCTTTGCTCAACATAGTGACCAACTGTTTCCTGGCCATCAGTGATGGACAAAATAGTCACTGATGTTTTGACCTCTTTGGCTACTTGTAAATATATGGAAGAGTTGAGATATTTATTTGATGACTTATTTTTTTTTTTTTTTTTTTGAAAGACCATCGGATTTTCTCCTGACTTCCTGGCCCTATAAGTACAACACCAGGGAGATACATATTGGGAGATTGACTTACTAAATATATTACTACCTCTGTCCAATAATAGTTGGTACATTTAGTGTATGAAACGTGTATGCAAATGTAACAACTATTATGGGACAGAGACAATATACAGAGTGAATAGAAAATACTAGTACTGTCCCATAATAGTTTTTCCATTTTGTGTATGAAATGTGTATGCAAATGTAACAACTATTATGGGACAGAGACATTATTAAAAAACGAAAAAAAATAACCTTTTTAACCATGACTTCCTCCCTCCCCGATTTTTCCCAAATTATATTTCTGGACTCCAGGTGCAATTGATTAAATATTTTAAACTTCACAAAACTGTCTTATTTCAATTACTCAATGAAGCATTGTCATACCCTTTTTTTTTTTTCTTTTTTTTCTTTTTTTTTCTTCTTTTTTTTCTTCTTTTTTTTCTTTTTCTTCTTTTTTTTTCTTTTTTTTCTTTTTTTTTTTTTTTTTTCTTTTTTTTTTTTTTTTTTTTTTTTTTTTTTTTTTTTTCTTTTTCTTTTTTTTTTTTTTTCTTTTTTTTTTTTTCTTTTTTTTCTTTTTTCTTTTTTTTCTTTCTTCTTTTTTTTTGATGAATTGTTCACCTTTTTTATCACAAAGTTTGGTTTACTTTTTTTTTAATTTTTATTTTACGGCTATTAAACAATCAGCATAAATGGAGATAGGCAGCTTTTGACAAGATTGAAAAATCACAATCCCCCCCCTCCTACATGTTTCGCTCCTTATAGTAGGCATCCTCAAGTTGGAATGACGAATAAATATGTGTGCAAGACTCATCAAATGTTCCACCCAGAAATTTTTTTTTTTTTTCTACATCCACTAATATTTGCAGGATTTAAAATTTGGCCCACTCCGATAATATGGTTAAAGGAAAAAATAAGATCTACTTGGGCTAAATTTGAAATCCAGCTGATATTAATATTTTCACGAGGAGAATTAAAAAATACTTTCTTGATGGATCTTTATTACCTCCTCCTCATAATCCTACACACTTTCCTCACACACACACACATTAGTCTCTCATTCTAACCTGAGAACACCTACCATATGCAGTGAAATGCGTAGTTTGAATACCTTTTCTAATTTGTCTTATCATGAAGAATGTAGATAAAACTAAATTTGAAATGACATTTGCTGGCTGGTTTTTATAGCCTCATTGCTAAGGCATTGCTCGTATCAGACAGGCTTCCGAGGAGAGGGAGCGTGAGATATGATCTTGTCAGAAGCTACTCATTTTTGCATAAAGCCGATTCCTTATAATTGTAAACTGTATAAACAGCCTGTGAGTTGTGATAAAAAGCTATAAAGATGAAAATGAAAGCTGGACTGGTCAAAGGTTAATATTCATATAACTGAAAATGGAATTTTAAGACCGTTCAGACTTTTTTGATGAAATTATCTCTAATGTTGGTAATGTATATTCCTGAGTTTTTAATACCAACTTCTTTGTTTACTGAACCATCCTTGGGGTAATTTGATGCGGGGGGGTGGGGTCTCTACGTCTGGACAATTTCTTTGATGCCACTTGCCTTGCAAATGCTTAAAGACACAACTATTTCGTTTTTATTGGCTTTTAAATATTTGGCCTTTTATTCATGCATTAGTGCAGCGTTTCTCAGCCCTTGTGCCATCCTTGAAATAGTTTTAATGTCTCAGGGAGCCCCTGCATAAAAACTATTATATACCATTATTAATATCTGTCTCTCTTTTTTTTTTTTTTTTTCTTTTAATGTAGTTCATGTAGTAAATATGGACACTTATCCTGTATGCAAATGGTACATGAATCTGCCACATGCAGGTTTGTCCATGAATCAATGAAGACACTTTCACACGGATGTCATATAGACATCACTAAATACATTCCCTATGGCTATTATAATTTTAAATAAATATGATATATAAATTTAAAAGATTAATATAATGAAACCCTTATTATAATAACCAAGCATTTTCTAACAATATGCCGTATGTGTATAGTAAAATTATAATTATAAAATTGAATAAAAATTACTCAAAAATGCATTAGCCTATTTACCTATGTTTTTCGTTGAACTCCTAGCGACCTCTTGTGGAATCCTATTGGATCCGGAAAACATCGGTTGAGAAACACTGCATTATCTCAATGAAAATATCAGTATTTTGTCAAATCATGTGCATTACCAATTGCTTTTACTTTTTACTAATTTGACAAATGTGAAATTGAAAAAAAAAAAAGGAAATGAAATTTAGAGTAAATTGTGGATGACAGGAATGAGGTAAGACCAGCTTTCACTGTTGAGACTGGTTTTACCATATTCCTCAGCACATTGGGTATTTGGTGCCATTTGATTTTGTTGTTTTCTCACTGTTCAAGAATAGACCATATTTGTTCTGAAAATGTTGAAATTCTGAAGACACTTTTCATCCCTAAACATAGATACATACATAGGGCTACACACACATAGTGTGTGTTGGCACACAGGTTATATACATGCTCTTCTGTACACACACACACACATTTGTGTATATATGTATATACACACACACACACACACACACACACCTTTGTGTATACACGTGATATGCAGTTTCATATGTTTATATGCATACACACGCATAGACACACACACAACATGCAGTATTATGCTTGTAGTGGACTCTCTCGTCGTATTTGGTGTATGAGGGTCAAGCAGCTCAGTTCCTAGGAACTGACAGCCCAGACACCTGCACATATGATTTGATTATAGTGGTGAAGGCTAAGTGCAGAACCAGCCAAACTTTTGGAAGTACCAAATACAGAGACCTGGTGCACTAAGTACCACAAAGTCCCCAAATGATCCTCTGCAGGTTTTGAATTCAGAGTTGTCTTTCTCCTAGACCAGTTACCATCCAAGGCTATAGAACCCGGTTTGTCCTACTATTTACCCATAGCTAGAGGAAGAAGAAGAGGATTCAGACCTTTCCCAAGGGTATTAGCATGTAAGTGAATGTAACGGATTTAACTAGACTTTGAACTCAGCTCTCTGATTCCTCAATCTGAGCTGATATCCTCTACTCCACTGTGCCTCCCTTCCTTATGATTATACGCACTCACAAATATATGAAAATAAAAAATTGTATGTTTAAAAGCATGCACACTTACAGGGGATGTACAGATTTATTACAACACACACACACACATCCATATATATAATATAAAAGGCTCAAACACTAATATTCCATGGTTATAATTTATTACACACACACATACATATCCATATATATAATATAAAAGGCTCAAGCACTAATATTCCATGGTTATAATTTATTACATTGGAATCGTAACCATGATCCAATTCATCAGAGCTACAAATTCAATGAATTTTGAATTTGTAGCTCTGATGAATTGGATTGTGATTATGATTCCAATGTAATAAATTTTGACCATGGAATATTAGTCTTTGAGCTTTTATATTCTTGCTCTGTCATGTACATTGAGCTTTACCTGGATTCTATCCTCTTGAAATAAATATATATATATATATATATATATATATATATATATATATATATATATATATGAAATAACAATATATTTTTATATATCAAAAACAATATTGTGGAAAATGTATGACAAAGTAGAAAAGTTGTGATGTTTGTTTGCCCTTCAGGACTTCATCAAACTAAGTTTGTTATGTTGATATGACTACACATGTACATGAATGAACATACATACATATATATATATATATATATATATATATATATATTACGCACACACACACACACACATATATATATATATAGATATATTTATTATTACTCTAGGATATATAAGTGATGTAATGGATAGTGGCTCAGAATGAGAAATCAGAGAGCTCAAATTCCAGTTGGGTCTGTTACATTCATTTATATGAAAATACCCTTGGTAAAAGTATGATATCATCTTCCCCCAGCTATGGTTTAAATAGTAGGACTTGTATCTAGAAAAATCATTATTGTCAAAAAAAAAATTTAATGCAATGTCCACTTGCTAAAAAGAATAATTCTTTCAATCTGAAATGTGTTGACTTTAAATAAGCCACAAAGGTGTTGATAAGCCGTCAAAAACAGGTCAATATA